TTTTTTTATTTAATAAAAGAATATTTCAAGAAGAGAATGAACTACATGTAATCCACTGATTAGCGCATTCACAGAAAGCATTTTCACAAGATTAGCGAATTCGACTAGGTCGCATTGAGAGGGATCAACCATTGCCAAAGCAAAGTTGCTTCGAAGCAAGCATGAGCGATCTCAGAACTTCATCAGTCAGCATAAGCTTTACCTAGTTCGGAGACCCCACCGATCATTAATCACGGAGCTAAAACAATCTCGAAACTTTTTCAGTCTGCATAAGTCACGCCCACTTTGAAGACTCCGCCCATCAATAGTCACTAGGTACATTTTCGTTTGCCTCTCTCGGAACACATAGGGACCGTCATGAACCCCTTCTTACTGCCCCAAACTCATCCAGAATAGATGAGGATTCATAGAGAAACAGTCATTATTGTAAAACCTACCAGCATACATTTCAAAGTAAGGCCATTCACACACAAACCATACAACTTTTTTCAACGAACCACTTCTGCTTATTTGCTCATGGACTTCTGAGAAACGAACGCATGCGCAGCAAAGAATTTTAAAATTGAAAAATAAAAAGTCGAGGAGGTCGCTGCCTTAGAACCATTCTGGTATTGGGGCGAGCAGGGAACATCGAAGATACTTTCAAGATATTAATAAAGGTCCCTTGTACTTAGAACTTTGTAAGACAATGGAGACAAAAGGATTGGAAACCACCCAAGAGAAAGACACAAGATGAATAACTACGAGCAACTCTTCCAAGTAACTGGGATCAACTGAACAGCCCACCAGCTGTATCGATCGTTCACGACGGGACATTTGCTGATACAAAAAAGTACCCAAACACTCTTCTAAACCCATCATTTCTACGTAGAAAAAAAAACAAACTTTCGGCGAAAATAACTTCTTTGGCCCTTTCCCTCTTCGAGAAATGATCTATGGTTTTTTTTTCTTGTAAAGGATCATTTCCCCGATCATCCTTCGGAGAAAACGATTTGTGTATCTCTCTCCCGAGGTAAAAGATTTCAATGACCCTGGCGAAAAGAGCGATTTCTCTGGTCTTCCCTTTAACTCAAAAGGTGAGTCGGAGTCCTCAGCAGGCAACCCACGTTCCATGGCTGAGCTCGTGAAGGATCTTAACCCCTAGGAATTCTCACTAGAGGGACCTACCCCCAAATATGTCCGCATAGCTGAATATTCAAATTAAATCGATAAAAGCTTTGATGAACTCTACCGACTGACAAATGATCTACACAAACCCTTTGAAATAATTCAATTTCACCAGAACATTAATTACTTGGATTTGAATTCGATGATAAAATATTTATAACAATTTTACCAGGACGTGTCGAACTCGGAGCCAACCGGATTGAGCCGACTCTTTTTGAGTTAATCAGGCGGCTTTTTGAAAAAACAATTCTGAGCNAAAGAGGGGGAGCGAACAAGGGAACGCTCGTCGTCCAGCAAAATTGAAGGCAGATACTTATTTTGGACGTTTACTGGTAACGAAATTAGTGTTTCCAGGATGCCAACCTTCCAGAATTACCCTCTTTTCAGTGTCGCTTTTGAGACGATGCCCTAGCAAATGGTGCTCAGGCATTCAGTTCTTATAGCTTCTCGAGCAACGCCATGTTTAATGGGGCCTGAAGCGTTGAGTGGTCGAAGAGCACCTGCTTTTCGAACAAAAAGAGGTCGACTTTGCTTTCTCCTTCATCTTCCTGGCTTCCATCGAACACCTGGGCTAGTCCAGCTCCATAATCCTTGAAACAAAGCCAGGAATTTGGACGAGTTATCCTTTACAGATATCGTTAAGATTCGCTGATACTATCCGTTCAGTGTTTCCAGCGCGAATTTATCTGCTTTCTACTGTTGGATTCCAGTTTTATTTTTACGTGAACAGCCAAAAGGGCCCTTCACCACAAAGTCCCATTAATTTTTGGACGACTTCATTAGCGGTGGAAGGAGTCGCTCGAGCGAAATTGGCCCTAACCGTCCTGCCATGCAACCCCCAATTGGCAACATTGGCATATTTCCGCCTGTGAATCTTGGTCATGAGGGCTTGCTTTGCCCAGTCGTAAATCTTCTATTAACCATAATTCCTACGCAGCGCTATCCAGCCATTATAAAAAAAATTTAGAAAACATCGAATAAACAAAATGATAGAAGGCATAAATAAACAACAACCAGTATGGAAACGAACATGAAAATCGAGGGGCTCAAAGTAATCGGACTTCAGACTCGTAAGAGCCGATGGTTATCGCTGACGAGATCCCGATAAGCGGTAACAACTGCCTACGGAAGGTTCTGTAGTTCATAATGAATACAAATTCAATTAAAGGCATTTCAGGCTTGATTAGGGGGACCTAAAAAGGAAAGTGGACAAAGAAACTTCGAGAACACCAAGAAAAAACCCTTCACATCTTCCTAGTTGCTACTTAAAAGTGCTCTTCATGGCTAAGGACGATGAGTGAATTGCGTGTGTATTGGGCATATAGTTCCTCAATCAAATGTTCCTTCTCAAGATGTTAGCAAAGAAAGAATCAAGGAATAATGAAGCTGTAGCTCGCAAAGGATCCGACTTCAGGAACTTTCTAGAAAATTTCTCCCAAATAAGTTACAGTTGTATAGATATTTTCAAGGATGAAACCCCTGGAAGAAGATGGCTTTCTTTGACGCTACAGGAAAAAGAGGAAGGAACTGTGACGCAACCAAAACAGTCAAGCTTTTTTGTTATATCTTCCTAGAGAGGCGATAAATATCCTGGAATTTCCGGCACACATTAATGGATAGCCATCCATCAAATACGCATTTGGAAACGCTTGTCTGGCGCAGAGAAGAAGATTTACGGGCTTGGATAACACGGCACTCTTCTCCTCATGGGGAGCTGATCAAAGGTGGAGACAAGTGGAAGACAACGGATGGCGTTGCTCCTGCAGGTATAGCTCGGAGACCAAACTCTGGATCGAGTCTTGTAAAGGGCTAACGAAGTCTTCCATGCATTTCGCCTTGCTAGGAGGCATTATTCAGGGAGATGGGCAGCAGGATCGGTTTTGTGTAAACGATTCGCCGCACGCGGCTGTCGCGGACATTTCGCTTCGCCGTTGTTACAGCTCTAGCCTTCTTCATACAGTTATGCGATCATTATCTTGAGCATGATCCTACTGTTGGATCTTTTGTTCCTGGATTTATTACCTGCTGCTGCATTCTACACTACTCCTTCGCGCGCGGCTTCCCTCTCGCAGCGACGCGACAGATTCGATCCTACTGCACCACACCCCACCTAAGATATCTCGAACGGACCTTTGGAAGATATTACGATCTACCTACGAGTATATCTACGACCACGGTAAAAAGATAGTTCTAAAGTTACAAGACAGAGTCGGAGCAGGTCTGTGGATTGTAGAAGGATAGAGGAAAAAGGTGGGATACTCGTATAACCAAAGAGATAGTTATTTACAGTAACATTTAACTATGCAGAAAGATTATTACTACTTTGAGAGGCAATTCAAACAGAGCAAGCTCCTCACCAGGGACCAGACTGGAGAGCTGATGAATGTGAGGGATATTAAAAGGCTTTGAATAAGACTATCCAAGAGCTTGGACATATGTAAAATAATCCTCAGGGAACACCCATTCTAAAGACTGCTCACATAAAAGACTAAGAAAAGGGATGATGTACCATGACTGAAGGCCGGCTGAACTTCAACATAGGGTTTTTGCTACTCAGAACGGCCTCATAACGTTCTAGAGAGGAGAGAGTTGGATGAGTTCGGAACGGAAATCGATCATGTGGGATAGGAAAGTGCAGAGGATTCTTGTAGAGATTTCGTTTTTGCAAGTCCCTTCCTCAGACTAATCACCAGTTATGCGATGGTTTAGTGGCTTTTGCAGAAAAGGGAAATGGCGTTTGACGGGGAACCTACATCGGACAAGGTGGAAGCGGTCCAGACAGCACCAGAACTTCCTTTATGTTGTCATGAACTATGGAATTTAAGTGAAAAGGCAAATACCGTTTGAGCCGAAGGCCAAGCTTCAGAGAAAGCCTACTGATTTGCACTTGAACCCTCGTTTAAGCTTTCGGGCACGTACACTACAGAGAACATAATCTCCACTATCTCCACTTGCCTTTCCTCAGTCTACTGATGGCGTATTATCCCCCACATCAGCATCCCGTCGTATTATTTTTACAAGTATTTTTGGAAAAAAACACGACCTCGATTCACAAAAAAGAAACGGTATTGAGCCATATTGGAGTAACCAATCAAAATTGTATATAAAAATCGCGCGGACCCATAGACCCGGGGATTGAATATTTCCTAACAGATCACGCATACTTACAGGTCACTCCTCTCGCCTGGGCGAGGGAAATAGGCAAGTTTTGAAAGGATGGTGCTGATGAAGTATTAGAGCTCCACAAAGTAGGCTAACAAAGAACGGACTCGAACATATACCGTAATATGGCAAGATTACATTTTAACGAGGACATACGAATAGCTTCGTTAAACTTGGGAGTGTCGAATGTACATAGGAAAAATCACGAAGAAATTTTCCCCTGTCTTGCTCGCAATCTTGATCCCTTCTGCTCCTTTCATTTTCGAGTAGTGAACGGGATATAACAATCCAATGGAACAAACAGGTAGTCATTATCAGAGGGAAGAAGCAAACGATACTATTAGGTTAAAACAAGCTGTTGCTCTCAAAATGGTAAACAGCCAATAATTTCTACCCTCAGCCCAATCTCTAAAAATATGCGAAAGTATTTTGGGTTAGACTAAATACACTTCTGAAGGTGTTCCTATAAAGGGTATATGAGCAGGATGGCAGCTTCACTAATTGACTTTACCGATAAGAAGTCAATTGTGTGAATTTTGGAGAAAAAGTATGTCCTAGTCTGATCTACACTATAAAAGTTTGGGGGAAAAGTTTAAAATTCGAAAAAAAAAACGTAAAAACTCACCAAAAGGCAGTTCAAAACGTGCATCGACAAGAACATTATGACCCGTAGGTTTGCTGGTACCAATGGTTTGCCCGTTACGCGTTTCCAATTCCTGATCCATTTGTAGCCATCGCCCATCACCCGGAGCAGCACTGAATCATGGTTTGTTGACTCATGGAGTAACTCGTAAATCTTAGCCGTCTCATGTAGTCTGACGGCCACTAATTGACCTTTCATTCCTTTTTATTACACATTAACATTATTCCGCTCGTTACTTCGAAAAATGAAAAAAGTAAGTAATAAATCAAGCTTCAATATTGGGAGTTATGGTGTAGAATGATGCAAAAAAGGCAAAAAAAAACTGGAAATACGGCGCATTTCAGGGATTGGGCCTTAAAAAAGTAGTAAAAAAGAGGGTTATATGAGTTTATGCATCTTTAACGGTCTCAGCGTCTCCTACATGAGCGTACTATTCGTCTTCGTCCTGACGCTTCATTGTGGATTGTGCTGCTTTGAGAAGGCCGTCATAGCACGTCCACTTTTGGGTGTGTACGTCGGCTAAGCTGGTTTTGGAACCCTTACAACGCCTCGTTGAAGTCGCTTTCCCACCAAACAAGGTACCACGTGCTATACTTGGGAGCCACCCTAGCGGGAAACGCAGAAACCTTTTTTACCGTGTCAGCTGTGCCTTAAAGAACTTTCGATGCTTCTCATAACTTTTCCACTCTCACAACATGATGGGTACTATTTCATGAGATACTTACCAATAGCGAACATCTGTCAACGGCATAAAATGTACACCGAGTAGACGATCCCACAAAACTCCCTTTGACCAAAGTTCGATAATCATTCCCTCGTCGAGGCGATTCGTTTCACTGAAAATATTCATTCTTGGCAGTTTTCGAAAGGGGGTTGTACGAGTTTCCTCTTTCCCTTGTCGAGGCGATTAGTTTTACTAAAAATATTCATTCTTGGCAGTTTTCCCATCCCAGTACGACTTAGTAATTAAAAAACAAAATCCTGTGAGCAAGCCTTCTTCTGAATCACCTTTTTCGGCCCTTCTCCGACAATCGTTTCTTTTAATTCTAATCGCCTATGTAAACTGTGACTGACATTGTGGTCACCGTTAGACCAAGGCGATTACTGACTGGTCACGATTACTGACTCCAGGACGGCCGCCAACGCAATGATAAGACTTCTTCACGAAAGTCCAAACGAAAGGAATGCTATGGCCCAGGTCTCTCAAGCGAGGACGATCCACTGAACCACTCCAGCTCGCGTCGGGAACGAATGGAGACGTAACAAGCGCCCGCTCGAGGAAATTGAGCATCGACGGGATAACTGGTGATACAGGTGATACTATGTAAGATGGCCTGACGATTAATCACAGATGATTCAACTGGCAAACCAATTCGACTATTTATTTCGGGAATAATCCACAAAAAGATACCCTAAGTTATCCAAGAATAGAAGGAATACGAGAGGATAATTTCTAAAGCGCCTGGCGTTGTTTCAGAATAAGCCACATATTCACCATCCACACAGAATTGCAGAGTATTTGGTTCCCAAATAAAGTCGTAGTTGCATTTTCAAAAGGTCATCTGATTAGCGAACTGATGTACCAGGTGATCACAGTAACTTTCTACTCTTTCCACCCTAATGGGTCTATAAAATAGGAAAAAGTTTGATTGTACATATTGAGCAACTCTTGATCTGGATTCGATCTCCGAACCATAGATGTGGTAACGATTATTCATACTTGACCCGNATGGCCCCTGCGTTTTGATTTTCAATACTGAGCGCCCAGTGTCAATAATTCAACACTGGGTTTCATTTTTTGACCCATTTCAATTTTCATCTTAACCAAGTAATCCATCCTACCTGTCTTTTCATTGACTATATATTATCCACCATCATTACTAAGCCTACAAAGATGATGTCACTTTAGTAAGACATCCATTAGTCTCGGAACGATTCCTTTAATCCGATATCTCAAAAAATCCGAGCACCGATGACGATACACCTATTTTTGGAAAAGATCAGAGTTCTTATTGGCGGCAGTAATGCATTGATAAATATAAATACCTCAGCTTTCCTACCTCTCTAAATACACTAAATGGGTGAGGCAGAAAAATAATCTCTACAGTATAACAGTTTCTCTTAATGAAAAAAGCGGCTTACAAAATGAATTCCTGCTCCCAACATGGGATGTTCCCTCGAACGACGGCTGTCGTTGACTTGACATTTTGCAACTTGACCGTCACGTAGGTATTGAATTCATCTGAAAAGTCAACAAGATCGAAAATTGCCTTCAATAATACTGTAATATTTCACTATACATATGATAGAAATTTATAAAAACTGGAACATATAAAAAATCGAATACATAAAAAATATGATTGATTTAATTCAACACCCCACTAGAGTAGACAGAAAAAGATGCCGTGACTTCAAAGAGAGACATTAGACAGGTTGCATGAGAACTATTCTTTAAAATTGTAGATATAACAGAGGAAGTTGTCTCCACTGGTCTTACACGTCCAGTAGATCAGAACCCATCTANTCATGTTTCTCATGGTGTAGTTGACTTTAAGGTTTGGTTTCAATCTCGAAAAATTGAGATTGAAACCAAACCTTAGGGTTTCCTTCAAGGCAGTCAGTTTCAATTCATTGCCTAATCGATTCGGTAGTTGTTCAAATTACATGAAAAGAAGAAGCCGGGAAAATCGCACCAGGAGTCACATGTTTCTTCTACTTGAACTGGATGAGACATTACATCCGAATTTTCAGCGTTGGGAATTTCACCACTCCCAAAGTCTGTATCGCTGAAGAACTCTTTACTCAATCGGCTTTGGCTTGATTAAAAATGGATGGACTCTATCAATAACCAACGACGTTGAAGGGCTCGATACTTAAAAGTCATTCTTACTGCGCCATTAACCTGTACGAAGCTTCACAAAAAAAGTGTCTTCTTAAGTCGCTCCTCTTCCGGAACGAGGACCTTCAAGAGTTTTGGGAAAACGGCCAAGCTATTCGACTGTGTGGGACAATGGTTCAACTGACTTTCGAATCATGATTAATTGACGGCTATAAAAAATAGCTCAGCACATCATCCACAACTTTCCCGTCCAAACTCACATTACCTTCCACCCCGCCAGGACCAACGATTTGATCCGTTAGAAAGAAAACGTAGACCTGTGGATTAGCCGCTCCTTATGAACTAGGTGACCAATTGGCGTACATGAATGCCACAGGGACTTCAAGGGAAAACGAACGCATGGCGCATCTCCAGCAATACCGCTGAGTTCGCTTTATTTGAAGACTATCAGGTTAGTCAGGCTCTGAGGGGCTGCACATTGTATTTGATGGGAAAAAAGTTTGGTTTTCCCTCAAGGAAACAAAACTCCAAGTCGAACTAACCAGCTCACTCTCGAAGTTTTTGAAACCAATTTTTTGGGCTTGGGCTTCTCCGTAATCTAGTCATAGGAACGTTAGATAATTGAAGAGATTTTAGGTAGTTCAAGTACTGTTTGATAAAGATTGCACCAGGAAAAATGAAAGGCAATAACGGAAGGATCCAATTTTTCAAAATGATTTTCGAAGAGAAAATTCTTTCCCTCGAAGAGTTGATCAAGTCTTTATTTTTCACCATCAAGCGGAGCTGTGTTAGAGAGTAATTAGCAAGCATAAGGAACTTTTTGCTTGCAGCTGTCTCCCTTTTCGGACCAACAAGATTGGAATCAGATTATGTGTTACCCAGCAACCGATCGGGATCGGCCAGGGCGATTCATCGACACTTGGCGACCCCTCATCACTGAATACTTCGGGTATACTTGAAGATGCTTGTTAAGAGGCTGGTTCCCTACTACCCTCTTCTTCTCCCCTTCCCCCACCCTCTTCCCTCACGCATCGCCTTTGTTCCCCCTTCCCATGAGCATTTACTGGAACATTCAGCTGTCAATGAACTGAAACAGATCCCATGGGTATGTAGCGTCTCAACTTGTCGAGACATTTGAGACAGTCAGAACTTTAATTAGGGACCAAAAAATTTTGTCTGATGTCATTCGTGACAGACCCCTCGGTATTTCACGACTTCGTAGCGGTTTATTGAAAAGCATCGACATTGCTCTCCACCCAATTTGAAATTCAAATTAACCTTTGCAGCTGCTCCGTGAACAGAAAAAACGTTACCGTTTACCCGACTTTCAGTGGTAATCAGCTGCCTATTGGACAGGCAGGCCATTACTTACTCAACACTTTGATGATTTCTTACAACTATTCGAATATGTTCAAGAAGGCATCGAAAATCAAAACGTCTCCCAGATATAGCGACCTCCATTGTGAGGTTTCCATGATCTACCGAATAATGAAGAGATTTAGGGGGCTCTTACGGATCATATGACACAGTGTCCGAAGTCTAAGGTTTTCAGACCCGCTGAGATTTCTCTACTAGCCTTTAGAAACTTTATAAATGAAACAGTGTCATGAATGGAATCAACAAATGACAAGAAGATCTCAACGTCGATAACCAACTCTACGGCTC